AAGCTTATAAAGATGCAATTGTCATCTACATCAATGCAATTGCATAATGCAATTACAAATGAACGCCATGTCATAATGCTATTCTAATTGCAATTTCAATGGAGATGCTCTAAGTAGTTTAGAAGAGTAACCAACAGATTTTTAGAGGAGAGAGAGTCTGGTTTTTCGCTCTCCCCTCTCTCTTCCTGTTCTGTACGCCCGTTCCAATTATGACCATTGGGGCCGAGCCTCCAACGACGGAGGTCGACCACTGTTTGAAGCCTCCAGATGGATCCCCGTCGACGACGTCGTGCCAACCTAGCAAGCGAGCAAGAGCCAGCAGGGGAGAGGGCTTCTCTGGAGAAGGGGAAATGGATTTTGCCGTTACTACGGCGAGATCCGAAGCAGAAGAAGAAGAAGCTACTGGATTGGGGAATCATCCCGATGGAGAAAAACAGGCTGAGGTAAAGAAGATGGAAACTGAATCGGGCGGAACAAAGGCCTCCTACAAGGATTCATTCCTTGGGAACAGCCCGCCGGAAGCAATCCCAGAAGGGGATGATTTGATGTCCGACGAGTCGGATGCGGAGGGTGTCGATGACGATCCATACTGCCCCACGATCCGAATCAAGAAAAGTACTGATGCCCGAGTTCGTAATCGCTGAAAAAGAGCATTCACTTTCAGAGTTCTGGGTAAGATCTTCCCTTTTGCGTTCATCCATAGGAAAATACAGAGCATGTGGGCGAAAACCGGGGGAATCAGAATTGGGGATATTGGAAATGGGTATTTCCAAGCTACCTTCGACTCGCAATTGGATCACGATCGTGCCCTCTACGGCGGACCGTGGACGATCGATGACCACTATATCGCCTCCGAGCTGTGGAGACTGGATTTTGATCCGGACTTTGACTCAATCAATAGGGCTTCGGTCTGGGTTAGACTTCCAAGACTTCCCCTTGCTTATTTTGATGAGGAGATCCTCACTGATATTGGGGACAAGCTGGGGCGTGTGGAAAAGATTGACTACAATACTGCAAATGGTTCAAGAGGAAACTACGCACGCATTTGCGTCGAAATCAATCTCAGAAAGAGGCTGGTCTCTAAGTATAGGATCAAGAGAAGGGTCAGACGTGTTGAGTACGAGGGACTACACACTGTTTGCTTTGGATGTGGACACTATGGCCACCTTGAAGATTCTTGCCCACAAGGATAACAAAAGGGGGAAAGGTCACCTGAGGAAAGGATGAAGACAAGTTTTAAACCTGTTGAACCAGAAATCAGGCCTGAGATATTGGAGGATTTCGGACCATGGATGCTGGCTACGATGAATCGTAGGAAACCACGACAACAGGTAACCTCCAACACAAGAAAGAAGGAGACAGGGGTGGAGAACCAACAAACACAAGAAACCGGGTCAAGATTCGCATTGTTAGAAGGGGAAGCGAACGAGGAGGAAGACGGAGAAACTGACCAGGAGGCAGCTGAGGAACAGCAGGATAGAATGGAGGAAACTGGGGCAGAAAGTGGAAAGGCTGGGAGTGAACAGAAAGAGGATCAAAACAAGGAAAAAGGGAAAGATAAGAAAGTGGAGAACAACAAGAAAGAAAGGAAGAAGATCATCAACAACATGACGAAGGACCCAAACCGAAAACCACATCAGAAGACTTCTCCAGATAATTCTAAGGTCAAAACAAAGACAAATATGCCACCCCCAAGAAACAGGAGGCCCTGATTCCAAAAAAAAGGCCCCAGATACAGCTAGCAAGGAGTTCTGCGGGCGCTCCAGCAGCGGTGGCACAACATCCTACCCCTACCAAACTTGCATCCCATTCCATTTCAAAGGGTGGATCAAGCAAGGAGGTTTCCAAGGATGCAAAACCAGGCCATCAGCCAAAGATGGAGATGCAACTCAAGATCACCAAAACCCCTGATAAGAAGAACAACAAGCAACCTGAAAATGTGAAGCACCAACCTCGGAAGATCAACTTTGAATCCAATGGAGGAAAGGATGCTCTTGAACCAGAAAATGCAACCAACCCTTCGTCAACTATCCCAAGTTGCAGTGAAGAAAGGGAACAGACAGCTATGGCCGTCGACTCCAAATGAACGTCTCGACCTTTGGTCGATGTGAGGGAAGTGTCCTAATCCTTAACTTTTTAATGATTAAGGTCTTCTCCTGGAATCGCCGAGGTGCAAAACACCTCAAATTTCGTTCTACCCTGGATTTCTATAAGTCTACTCACAACCCGAATTTTGTTTGCATTTTAGAGCCTCGAATCATTGGAGAGGAAGCCATCAAGGTCATCAAAACTCTTTGATTCGATTCTTGGGAAATATCAGATGCTACTGTATTCAGTGGAGGAATCTGGATGCTTTGGAACAAGAAGGAGGTTCAAATGAAACAACCTGAGATCCACAAGCAGTACATCCACATTGAATGTGCTACAACCAATGGGCATGTTTGTGTCCTCGCTGCCATTTATGCCAGCACAAATGAGCATGCTAGAGGTGATCTTTGGACGGCTCTACGAGACATTAGCCAAAGAACCTCTTGCCCTTGGTTGCTTTTTGGAGATTTCAACACAATCACAAGGCCAAATGAGAAGCAAGGAGGAGCCAACTTCAGCTTCTCCAGGACGAAAGCCTTCGTGGATTGTATTCATGATTGCGGGTTGTTGGACCTGGGATTCATCGGACCAAGTTTCACATGGTTCAAAGGGGATTCTGGTGTTCGTGAGAGGCTTGATAGAGGGTTATGCAACCTGGCATGGCAGCACATGTTCCCTCAATCCCATGTCTTCCACTTGATCAAGATGAAGTCAGACCACAGACCAATCCTGATATGCAACAAGAGCATCCCTGCCAAATCCAAATTGGTGAGACATTTCCAATTCCTTGCACCATGGTTGACCCATGATAATTTCTTTTCCTTTGTCTCCTCCTCCTGGAAATGTGGCCAGCTTCTCCCTTGTGCCCTGCAGGACCTCTCGAGCAAGCTGCGAGAATGGAATAAGAAGGTCTTTGGGAACATCTTCCAAAGGAAAAGGAGACTAGCAGATGCTCTCCACTCCCTGGAAGTTCTGAATGTGAGAAGGCCTTCCACCACTTCTCTGGAGGAGGAAAGGAAGACCCGGATTGAACTTGAAGAGGTGCTATGGCAAGAAGACCAGAATTCCAGGTTCTTCCACACCAGCACACTCTGCAGGAGGAAAAGAAATAAAATCATGAGCCTGAAAAATGAAGAAGGAGAGTGGATCACTGATCCAAACTTGATACAGAAGATGGCAAGAGAGCACTATGTGAAGCTGTTTACCAAAGCAAGAAGTAACCCGCAAGCCATCACTGCTAGGTTTCCCACCCTGGAGAACTACAAATGGGATCAACTGACAAGATTTCCAACTCCGGAGGAGATCCATGGCATCGTCAAAGACATGAATGGGTTAAAGGCGCCAGGGAAAGACGGTTTCCATGCCCTCTTCTTTCAGAGATGCTGGAAACTTGTGGGGAAGGATTTCTGCAACTCCATCCAGAGATGCTTCTCTACTCCTAACAGCATCCGACTCCATAATGAGACGCTGCTGGTCCTCATTCCAAAAGTCGACTCCCCCAGCTCGATGAACCACTTCAGACCCATCAGTCTCTGTAACGTGGGGTATAAATTGGTGACGAAGTGTATAGCAAACAAGCTCAAACACCTTATGCCCCACTTGGTTAAACCTAATCAGTCAAGTTTTGTCCCCAAACGACACATCACTGACAATATCTTAATCCTGCAGGAAACAGTCCACTCGATGGCAAGGAAAACCGGCAAGAAGGGGATGATGCTCCTCAAACTCGACCTCGCAAAAGCTTATGATCGACTTGACTGGGATTTCCTGGAAGAAACCATCACCCTGGCTGGTCTCCCTCAAGCATTATTCAGATAATCATGAAGTGTGTCAACACAGTGGAGATGCAAGTCCTTTGGGAGGGAGGGGAAACACAGAGCTTCAAACCCAGCAGAGGCCTCAGACAGGGATGCCCTCTTAGCCCTTACCTCTTTACTTTATGTGTTGAAAGATTAGGACATTGCATAGCCAATGATGTTAGTGAGAAGAAGTGGAAACCCATCTGTCTTTCCCCGGGAGGACCACCCCTGTCTCATTTGTTTTTTGCGGACGATCTGGTCCTCTTTGCTGAAGTGTCCTTGAGGCAAGCAGAAATCATCAATCTCTGTGTGGAAAGATTCTGTGAAGCCTTAGGCGAGCTTGTGAGCAAGGAAAAATCCAGAGTTCTATTTTCCAAGAACACTAGAGATAGGGATAGGAGAGATATCTGTGAAAAACTTGGCATTCAATCGACTCTGGACTTAGGTAGATACCTAGGGGTGCCTGTTCTGCATGGTAGGATCACTAGGAACACCCATAAGTATCTCATCGACAAAATTGACCAAAAATTGACCTTTTGGAAGGCAAAAACCCTCTCTCTTGCAGGAAGAGTTACACTTGCCCTCTTTGTTCTGAACGCCATTCCCACTTATGCAATGCAGACCACCCTTCTCCCAGCCTCAGTCTGTGACTTAATTGATAAGAAAATCCGACAATTTGTGTGGGGGTCAAGGGATAAGAAAAAGAAAGTGCACTTGATTTCCTGGGAAAATGTGTGTAAACCTAAACAACAAGGGGGACTGGGATTAAGATCGGCTAGGAGTTTAAACATGGCTTTTATGATTAAACTTGCCTGGCAAATTCTTAACAATAGTTCTGATCTTTGGGTGCAGGTTATGCAAGGCAAATACTTCAAACACAAAGATGGACAGATCGTGGCAATGAAAAGAAGCAACCACTCGAGCCTTTGGAAAGCAATCCTGAAAGCCATGCCTCTTATGAAGAGTGCCACAAGCTGGAGCATCAGGAATTGGAGAACCACCAGCTTTTGGAATCACCCGTGGCTGGAGCATGACCTACTCCTTAAAGACCACCTCCTGCAGGATGCTTCCCTAAGTGATGAGGACTCAGTGGTGGCGGACTAGACAAACGATATGGGAGATTGGGACTGGCCGAAGCTTCAAGTTCTCTTTCAGCCTGACATTTTGGCTTTGATTGCAGGAACTGAACCTCCCAAAGAGGATTTAGGGGAGGACAAATGCATCTGGGGACTGGAGAGGGATGGCAGATTTCGCTTGAAATCTGCATACAAGCTGGCAGCTGACCAACTGGATGCCACAGAAGATGACCTCTGGAAAAACCTCTGGAAGTGGCCAGGACATAGTCGAACCAAACATTTTTTCTGGTTGGTGTTGCATGACAGGCTGCTTACTAACAAGGAACGGCTGAAGAGGAAGCTCACCACTGATGGAACATGCCGCCATTGCAAGGACGCTGAAGAAACCACAGAACACATTGTCAGAAGCTGCAGCAAGACGAAGAGCATTTGGGGGAAGTTCAGATCCAGAGTCACCTGCAAGGATGAGACGTTGCCTTTCAAGACTTGGATGGCACGCAACCTGAACAATGCTGTTCATGGCGTTGAGTTCGGATTAATTGTGTGGCATCTCTGGAAACAGAGGAATGAGGAATGTTTGGATGGAAAGATTTTTGTGAAGAAATCCCTTGTTTGCAGGATTGAAGCATGGTTCAGGATCTACATAATGGCTCAACAAAATGTGGAGAAGAGCTTTGATCCACCTGTTGAGAGAAGAGAAGAGCAGATCGGTTGGAATCCTCTACCTGAGGGATGGGTACAAATCCAGACAGATGGTTCTGTCCTCTCTCCCTCAGGAAAAGCAGCAGCTGGAGGCCTAATTCGTGACTGGGATGTTGTTATCTCACACGTGTATAGGGAAGGAAATAGAGCGGCTGACTATCTTGCTAGTCTTGGCCATTGCCTACCTTTTGGAACACATCATGTTGATGTGTGTAGCCCTGAGCTTTGTAGGTGGTTAGAGTACGATGTTATGGGAGTTTCCCAAGCACGGTTTATTTATATATGATCTGAGGTGCTACTAGCATCTGCCTTCTTACAAAAAAAAAAAAGAAGAGTAACCAACAGACTTCATCACCAAGTTTCAACAAGCCTGAAACTCAGAGGACTTAACTAACAAGAAATAGAACTCTGGGACCGAAAGTGAAACTTATCCAAAACTGTCGATTTGCTGCAAAGCTCAGAAAATTAGCTAAGATTCACTAATTGATGATGAATTTCTCAACCAAATTGAAGGTTGTGGATCTGATCAACAGAAGCAAGATTCAGTTCTGCCTTACTATAGTAACGGTGGTTTCCCTGCTGGTGAGTTTGAAAATTTTGGCAAATTCCAGGTCCCAATTATGAGGATACACTTCCCTTTACCTGCTGGAACTCGCCAATTTTTCTCCTCTAACAAAAATCCCTAACAAATCCAGGTTACCATATCTGCAGGAGAAGAACCCTAATATCAAATGCTTCCTCATTGATGCTCCCGGTTTTGGCTTGTTCAATAAGGTAACTAGTGGGGTAATGCACACCAAAGAGGAAGCTGAAGGCAAAAGGCTGAAGAACCCATTTGACACCATAACCGAAGGGATAGATAGGGATCAATAGATTGACGCAGAACTTTTCTGATGGCTGAACTTGATGGTGCATTTCGATTTTCGAGGCAGTGACGAGGAAGCTGTCGAAATGTCAAGGTGTTGACACCTAAAATTAATTTGACCGGAATTAAATGCCGCATTAATTAGTCTCGGCATTTAATTCGATACTGCGGGTAAAAAACGGTGTCGTTAGGAGTCGAGCGGCATCGCGGGAAGTTAAAACGATACCGCAAAACAGAAAAACGGTACCGCAAGGAAGCTCAGCGGTACCGCAACACCGGAAACGACACCGCTGGACGAAAATAAAAAAGGGTCGCGCGTTTAATGAAGGTTGGAGGAGGAGTTTTGATTATTTAATTATTATTTATATTCCTTGTTGGATAGGGATAAGCGGCACCGCGGAGAGCTAAAACGGTGCCGCGGAATTAAAAACGGTACCGCGAGGAAGCCCAACGGTACCGCTATACTAGCAAACGACAGTGTTTAATAATAAACAGTGTCGCGGAAGAAAAAAACAAACGGAGCTGGTTGGGAAAGAAAACGACATCGCGGGATCATGAAAACAACTCACGTAAAGTTCACGTGAAGCAGTTTGAGGAGCGAAGCGGTTAAGACACGTGGGATTTCACAACGAAGCAGTTGAGGAAGCGGTTCCACCGAGCGTGAAGACTACGAAGCAGTTTTTCGAATAAAAGCAGTGGAGCAAGGAGAGAGAAAGGAGGCCCAAAAAATCAACACAGATCAATTCTGCTCAAACTTTACCTTTTCTCTGTAACTCCTTCGCGGAGCTCTCCTTCCAGGAAGGATCTCCATAGTTGTAGTCTTAGTCGTAGTCGCGGAGCTCTCCACAGGAATCTCCATAGGAGTAGCGGTAGCGTAGATTCCTCAAAACTCAAACACCCTCGTTCGAACGTAGTTTGATGAGGTGCGAACCGTAGTAACGGTCACGTTGGTTAGAAGTCAGAGGTGCATCGATCAGATCAACATCGCCCCGCGGTGGATATTTGACGATCACGTTGATTTCACCATTCAGAAGTGCATCGATCAAATCAACATCGCACTGCGGTGGATATTTGACGATCGTCATCGTTTTCAGAAGTCAGTTGCACCGATCAGATCAACATCGCCCGACGGTGGATATTTGACGGTCACGTCGATTTTAGCAATCAGCGGTGCTTCCGATCAAACGGCACCGCAAGGGTTTTCACCGCGAAACATCGAATCAACATTGTCGGAAACAAATTCGGCACCGGCGGTGGTATTTGGTTTCGCCGAGGAAACAATTTGGCACACCTGGTGGGACACGTGTGTTTGACATGGCTCTGCGATGAGGAAAAGAAGATTGTGGTATTCGACAAGGATCCATGGCGGAGGCTCAAATGATCAACATCGAGATTGACGATGTTGTTGGCGGCTCAAGCAACAACGCTGGAGCGGAGGTGCAATCAGTGGCACGAGTCTCCGATCAGGGTGAGATGCTGCGCATACTCCGCCAAGTAGTGGCTGAACTCAGCAGAGATAGACAACAGGTAAATCTAATTTTAACTTCTCTTGATAAAAAAATGGATAATCTTGAAAAAAACATAGATCAATGGTTTGATAAGTTGGACGACTCTGTTTCTGATTTTAATATGTCAATACGTGGAGCCACGTATGATTTTGATGTGTTTAAATCTCGAACCATGTCTGTTGTGTGTGAATAGCTAATGTCAACCAAACTCCATCATCGATGGCTACAACATTGTTGCCAGAAGTGAGTGAATCCAATGTGTTCTTTCCTGTGAACAACGTTGTTTTAAAGGACACACCAATTGGAAGTGGCTTGCAAAAGCCACTACAAAGAAGTCAGTATCGACTTACTTCTATTAAGATTGAAAACAAGAACCAGGGTCGAGAACCTGGTTACAATCGCGTCGAGCATAGCAAGCTCACGTATGATGGGTTGTCTAAGCAACATCGCAATGGTGTTCAATCTAAGCCGCTAGGGGGGCATGAGATCCCACCGCATGGTCGGTTGATGGAAAAACAACATCGCAAGTGGCAAATAAGTTTGCCAAATATGTCCTATTCTAGGAAAATTCAAACAAGGATGGCAGCAAAAACTTTGCAGTGTGGGGGTGGTAGCCACGTGAAAAAACCCAATGCCACCAAAGTTGGCATGAATCAACAGAATCTTCTATGTAAATTGTCCCCAAAACCTCCACTGAGTAGAGAGGGGGGCAAGTTCGATCAAACCCGACATGGGGTTGCCACACCAATGCTGGTTGGGAACAAATCCATGAGTGGTGGTCTGGGGGGCAAGGCCAATGCCAAACAAACTCCAAACTCACGTGGAATTTTAAAAGGGGCAACGTTGTTGTGTGATAGGTGCGAAAGTCATGTTCGTGATAAGCAAAATACCAACGTACCTGTTGATGAAAAGTCTCGGCGCTCATACTACCAACAACATGGTGAGAGTGCGAAGCTAACAAAACTAGACCAGTCTAGGCAAGCGATGTCGCATGGTCGAATTGGCAAGACAAAGGTGCCAAAAAACGAGAATGTCCTGTCTAGAGCCAAGAATGCTTATGGTTTTCCATTCCGCGAAGCTAAGATTAGGCCAAATCAGGATCATGGAGTTTCGAACAAAGATGTTCGAGCTAGACGAACTAGGGATTTGCAAGCCAACATTGATTCCAAAACATCAAAACCAACTCGTGTGAAGCCAGCTGTGATGAATCATGGACTTTACGGATGGCTTGTTTGGTTTGATCGATGGAGTTGGCAGTGGGTGTGGACTTTTGGCATGATGGTTTATGCCAAAGTCTAGTTTGTTTCTTATTTAACTGTTAATAAATAACGTGGCTAAATTAGGCCACCTAATATGTTATAGAGAAAATATTATATAATATGATCAAGCGGCATTGCTAAGAAGAAGCAACAATATCGTTGGCAATAGTTCAAAATAACAAGCGGTGTTATTCTCTTTTCTCAACATCGTTGGAAGATAGGGAAAGATACACAATGCTGTAAAAAAAAAAAATTAGCTCTGCCGCCGAAACAACTCTGGCGAAGAAAAAAAAAAAGAGTCCCTCAGCCCTGCGGCTGTTGCGGAAAACAAACAGCTATGATAATAAAAAAAAAAAGTAGTGCATGGCGGCATGCAGCGCTGCTAGAGGAGAATTATAAAAAAAAAAAATTGCATGCAGCGCTGCCCGTAACAGCCCTGATATAAAAAAAATAGTAATTAAATAATGCTTGCAGCGCTGGTGGAGGAAAAAACAAAATAAAAAAATAAAAGCTTCACAGCGCTGCCGCTGTTTCAACAGCCCTGAAGAAAAAAAAAAGTTTTTTTTAGATGCAGCCTTGGTGGAGAGTAATGATAGCCGGAAAAAAATCAAAAATCAAAAATCAAAACCAGGGCTGTTTGGACGCGGAACAGGGCTGCACAACCGGCCGCATTTAGTAAATAAAAAAAATAATTATTATTATTATTAATTAATGCTTGCAGTGCTGGTAGAAAAAAAAAAGGATGAGTTTGGCCGCGTTGTTGCAATTAGCCGCAATGCTGGTGGCCAAAATCATTTGGCCATGCATAAGGGTTATATAATTGGTAATTAAAGACTTCATTGCTAACTTTGGCCTACGTGTTTATTTCGTTTAAACATTTTGAGCCAAATATTTTAGGTGTTATACTATTTGGTCAACAATTTGGTTCATAATTCTTATAAACCAAATTGTGGGGGGCATTTGTTGACACCCAAAATTAATTTGACCGAAATTAAATGCCGCATTAATTAGTCTCGGCATTTAATTCGATACCGCGGGTAAAAAATGGTGTCGTTTGGAGTCGAGCGGTATCGCGGGAAGTTAAAACGATACCGCGAAACAGAAAAACGGTACCGCAAGGAAGCTCAGCGGTACCGCAACACCGGAAACGACACCGCTGGCCGAAAATAAAAAAGGGTCGCGCGTTTAATGAAGGTTGGAGGAGGAGTTTTGATTATTTAATTATTATTTATATTCCTTGTTAGATAGGGATAAGCGGCACCGCGGAGAGCTAAAACGGTGCCGCGGAATTAAAAACGGTACCGCGAGGAAGCCCAACGGTACTGCTATACTAGCAAACGACAGTGTTTAATAATAAACAGTGTCGCGGAAGAAAAAAACAAACGGAGCTGGTTGGGAAAGAAAACGACATCGCGGGATCATGAAAACAACTCACGTAAAGTTCACGCGAAGCAGTTTGAGGAGCGAAGCGGTTGAGACACGTGGGATTTCACAACGGAGCAGTTGAGGAAGCGGTTCCACCGAGCGTGAAGACTACGAAGCAGTTTTTCGAATAAAAGCAGTGGAGCAAGGAGAGAGAAAGGAGGCCCAAAAAATCAACACAGATCAACTCTGCTCAAACTTTACCTTTTCTCTGTAACTCCTTCGCGGAGCTCTCCTTCCAGGAAGGATCTCCATAGTTGTAGTCTTAGTCGTAGTCGTGGAGCTCTCCACAGGAATCTCTATAGGAGTAGCAGTAGCGTAGATTCCTCAAAACTCAAACACCCTCGTTCGAACGTAGTTTGAAGAGGTGCGAACCGTAGTAACGGTCGCGTTGGTTAGAAGTCAGAGGTGCATCGATCAGATCAACATCGCCCCGCGGTGGATATTTGACGGTCACGTTGATTTCACCATTCAGAAGTGCATCGATCAAATCAACATCGCACAGCGGTGGATATTTGACGATCGTCATCGTTTTCAGAAGTCAGTTGCACCGATCAGATCAACATCGCCCGACAGTGGATATTTGACGGTCACGTCGATTTCAGCAATCAGCGGTGCTTCCGATCAAACAGCACCGCAAGGGTTTTCACCGCGAAACATCGAATCAACATTGCCGGAAACAAATTCGGCACCGGCGGTGGTATTTGGTTTCGCCGAGGAAACACAAGGTTAGTGCTTTCTATATTTTTTCGTTATTCTCTGAAAGTTCAGCTATACTTGTTTGCTGGGGGACTAAATTGTCATTCGTGTCAAACATGATCGATCTTGTAGGTTTCTTCTGAAGAACGACGGTCTATTAGTTGGGAGCTCGTCAGCCATGAACTGTGTTGGTGCTGTTAAAGTGGCTCAGTCGCTTGACCCTGGTCACACCATTGTAACCTTTCTTTGTGACATTGGGATGAGACATTTTGAGTAAATTCTGCAATGATCAGTATCTATCCGAGCATGGTTTGATACCAACTGCAGCTGGCTTAGAGTAATAGAGTTCTTGGGAATCAGCTGAGGTTCTCAGGTCTATTTCGGAGCTTTTCGCAGAGGCTGGAAGCTTGAAAGCTTGGTCTAATGTTCTTAGTCATTAACTTATTGAGACGGTGCAGGCAGCAGGATTCATTTGGATATGTAATGACAGTTGTGTGAGCTTGACACTGCCACTCTATTGGAGGGTGATTGCTTGCTGATGATGGAATTATTTGAAAGTAATTCAAGCTGTTTCCATGGTAATGAATGGAATGTTGGACCCTCTTTCAGTATTAAAGAATGTGGTTCTGAGATTGGGGATTCAAAGGTGAACCACACCACAGATGATCTCTGTGTAGTTTTTTTTTCTTCTTCTGAGCTAAATCAAAATTGCTGGAGATTCAGAATACAAGCACTTGAAAGAGAGAAAAACAGCAGGACAGCTTAAAGCCTTGGCTATTTCAACATCTTCCACATGAAAGGAAGAACCCACAACTTGCATTCCATTAACTTCTTGTCACATATCAGCCTTCCATGTCAAAGCTGGGAAACTTTATGGACCCAATTGAGAGGTCAATCTCAATCAAGTTATCTTCTTCATTCACCTCATCAATCTCTTCCACCACCTCCATCATCCCTTCTTCTTCTTCTTCTTCTTCTTCTTCTTCTTCTTCTTCTTCTTCTTCTTCTCTAATGACGAATTCATTCGAGAACCCCGACTTTCCCCACGACAGCATTCCTATGGATGACACTTCATCGACATAAACAGAGCTCTCATTTGGAGGAAGACTTATCTCAATGAGATCATCATCATCTTCCAGTTCATCGTAATCAGAAGCAGAGCTTTCACAGAATGCTAAGCTTTGACCAACATTGTTGTTGAAGGGCTTCATCCATTTGAGTTCAAAAATCTCACTCCTTAAAGAGTCATCGCTACTGCTTTCATCATCTGATGGGAACTCCGTCGAATCCACTTGATACTCATGCAACTCACAAGCTTCATTGTCAGTCTTCTCTGCCACACACAACTCCGGAACAACAGCAGCAACCATAGTTTCCGAACCCTCACTCGGTCTCTCCTTAGCTTCTTCTTCTTCTTCTTCTTCTTCTTCTTCTTCTTCTTCTTCTTCTTCTTCTTCAACAGCAGCAGCAGTGACAACTTTCCTCTTTGAGAATATTGATGAAATGAAGATGGTGGAGAGAAGCAGGACTGGGATTGAGACGAGGATAGGAGAGAAGCCATACCATAGGATCATAGTAGCAGCTAGAGAAGACAGCAGTGCAATGTAAAACAAAGATGAGGGTTCGAGAAAGTTGATGAAGGAATGGCATGTTTGAGCAGTCCAAGCTCGTAATGGTTTATCCATTTCACAAAGACCAGAAATAGCTTTGAGAAAATGGATTGGAGACAGGAAGGGCAGATCCAGCGAAAAGCTCCAACCCAGCTCTTTCCTTTCTATGAACCAAAGTTGGGAGGGAAACAAAGAGGCAAGGGAAAAAGCAAAAGCAATGAAGAAGAGTGAAAAAAAGGTTCAAACTTTCAGAGAGCTGGAGGGAGGGATAATCCACACAATTAAGGAAGATGAGCAGAGGAATCAAGTTGGGGGGGTTCAAGAACAAAAGTAATGAGCTTTTCTTTCTTGGAGTTGGTGGAATCACTCACAGTTTCACAGTAAGTGAGTGACCACTCTTCCTCTCTGCCTAGGAGCTCCCAAATCCCAGATTAGAAAATGGGGTTTTCTTTCCTTCTGCTGATTGATTCTCTTGAAACCGTCAAAAGAAACTAATTTAACCAACCAACCAACAGTGAGGGCAAATCTCAAAGCTCAGGGGGGAATGGAGCTCCACATGGGTCCATGAATGAAACCCATCAGCAGACACACAACTCTCAATCCCAAACATATCCGCAAGCAAGCAGCTAAACTCAATCTACTACAATTGCCCACTTCCACAGCTCTCTTTTCATGACTTCTATTCACAACAAACAAAAAATTTGTGTTGACAATGATGAATTATGAGAGACAGGAAAAGAGTAATGATGATGATCCCACTTTGGGCTGTCTGGAGATGTGAGAGAGAGGCATCAGGCAGGGTAATGAACTAATGATGCACAATGATACGGTTACTTCCAACTTCACTGCACGCTAAAGGCTAATTTTATACTTAGATTCATTCAACTGCTTCTTCTGTTTTATTAAGTGGGTGGAGACCATTTTGATGGAATGGTCTCCCATTTGAACAAAGCCGACATGAAATAAATCTAAATGGGGCCATGAGGTTCAGGATTCATGGCAGGATCTGCTTGCTTGGACTTGAATGGTGTTTCTGTATTTCTCTGCCATTGAATGCATGGTATCTGGCTGCTTCTGTACATTATGTATTGCTGATAAGTTCACGTATGCTCATGTTTGTGGCAAAATGTGACTGCTGAAATAATGGATTTCATTATCAAAGAAATAATTAAGTTTAATATTGTATCAACCGTGTATTTTTTTTAATCATGTTCTCCCATAATATACAACCTTGCTTGTTGAAAAATGGTGACATGTTGGTATGGTATGGTGGCTAATAGATAGATAAATTTTATTTAAGTTACTAAATTTTTAAGTTACTATCTTATTTGTATATATATATTTAGAAATTGTACAAAACGACTTAAACAGATTAGACCCCGATCAAATCTTTGAATCTCAAATCACTTGATTAATCAGCTCAATGACTTAAACCGGTTTGACAACATTGATAAGTATAGAATAGGCCGCCAAATTCATGTGCATGACACAAATTTTCCCTTCGTCGAACACATAAGATTTTGGATGTTATACAAAAAAAAAGCACAGGAAGTTCGCAGGCCAAGCACATCCATGAATCAAATGGATTGGTGGATTCAGGGGTGGGCATCGATCCGATCCGAACAGGATCGGACCAAACTCAGGAGAATTGCGGTCCAATAGTGAAAGATATCTTAGGACCAAGGACCGGACCAATAGTGCATTCGGACCGCTTTGGTCCAGTTGGTCCGATCCAAATATAAATTTTGTCCATTTTTCTTCAATATTTTTAAAATTCATAGGACCAAGAACCGGACCATATTATAGTCGATTCGGTCTGGTCTGGTCCAAATATCAATTTGGTTCGATGTGGTCCGGTATGGACCAACGCATTGCCCACATTGGACTAGACTATGGATCCAAATGACATATATTGGAACAATATCCAAATTTGAAAATCTTAGGTGCTTAAATATCATAATAAAAAATATAGGTGCCAAAACATAATTTTACAATGATATGTTTCATTAAAAAAATTAAGGCCAAAGGTAACACAATCGAGTTTGTCGGGAGTGTGATCTTTCGGGTTTGAGATGTGTGAGGTCTCAGGTTCGAACCCCGCTACACCACTTGGTTCCCGGAGGCACTGCGAGTGCTAAAGATGAATTCTCCCCCAATATCGGGTGCTAAGCCTTGAAAATGTTGTTGATGCAGGTACTCCCAGGTTTAGTAGACTTGATGCCACAAAATGGCACGTGGGGTTGAGGTTCTTGAATAGTAATAAAAAATTAAGTATCAAAATGGAAAATAAAAAAAATTTAAATATTAAATCAGATCATTTAGATTAATATAATGGAAGAGTCGAAGAGGTCTATCTTTTTACTTATAGTTAATCAATATCCTATCATTTTCTCTAGAAAAAAAATCAATATTCTATTATTTAAATGAATTAACCCATTTCAAATTTTCTGCATCTAGAGTGAAAGTAGGAAGGACATTTTGATCTTCACAATTACTTTTTTTTATTCATTAAAAAGACACTTACTAGGATTTGAACCATGACCCCTTTAAAGAAAAGCAAAGATCATAACCAATCACACTAAGTACATTTGTTGTATCTTTTTAAATTAAAAACATATAATCACAGAGAGAAAAAACCTTTCCTCCATTTCAAATTCCCTACTCCATGAACATTTGTAGGAAGGGTAGAATAGGGAGTGTCAAATTTTTTTCCCTCTGTGGAACGAGCAAACTTACCGTACACATGCGAATTTAAACGGACCCAGAAGTGTCAATTTTTTTCCTTTAAGTCCTTTTATTTCTCCGTGGTGGTAAAATATATATGAAAAGGCAAAAACAATACTCCTTTTTATTGCTAAAAATAAAAAAAAAATTAACAATAAACTAATGCATGGACTAACCGTTAATCATAAAACAAAAGAGTTGAATGGACCTGACCTACACGGGATTTGCCCATCAAGTAAAACAAATGAACATCATGAGTTTGCCATTCTAAAACAAGCTATTTTCTCTAGCATAATATATATTATGCTATTATTTTATATCTAAGTGGCTAAAATATAATAATTTTAAAGTTATTCAATGGTTCAACCTCGACCAACCCAATTAGTCCAATTTTTATCATTTCAAATATATATTATGTAATTATTTGATATCATAATGATTAAATGATAATGTATATTGTAGGGAATCATGGTATTTGTTAGTAAAAAACTAAACAGAAAGATCTATTTGGTTATTTTTACCATTAAAACGATCCTAAACATTTTCAGTTTCCTTCCAAATTCTATATTTTTATTCCCGAATCAGTGATGTGCAAATGGCGAATTGCAGTCATCTCTTTTCTTTCATTATTTTTTATTTTCAAATAGAAAGTTTAAAAGTAAAGAATAATTAGAGTTTGGCATGAGACGGTCGAACATGCTGAAATTCAAGTTTTGGCCTGTTTTGATCAAGTCTAATTTATAATCACATGGTTCCTTGATACTCGATAAAAATCTCAATCCAAACCAGTTTGGCAGGTGAGTCCGTGTTTACCACCATTTTCTAGGGATACAGGAACAGTGGTTCATATCCCAAATTGTGTTGTTCATTCTTGATTTCTTTAGATTTTATCATGGCTTGGCAAAAAACCAGAAAGCACAATGATGAAAAGATGAAAATTTTATAAAGCAAATTAATCGGCCAACGGGCCGAGTAAAAGCTAGCAACGATTGTGAGATGCTCATTTCCCGAAAACCGGCGGGATAGGCAATTTTTTATTCGATTTTCTGGAATTCGGTTTCTATAAAACTTACTCCACCTCATCATATTACCAGAAACAATATTGTTTCACAAGGTAACAGGTACTTGATTTTGGTTCATAAGGCTGATTTTCAAGTTTTGGCCTGTTTTGATCAAGTCTAATTTATAATCACATGGTTCCTTGATACCCGATAAAAATCTCAATCCAAACCAGTTTGGCAGGTGAGTCCGTGTTTACCACCATTTTCTAGGGATACAGGAACGGTGGTTCATATCCCAAATTGTGTTGTTCATTCTTGATTTCTTTAGATTTTATCATGGCTTGGCAAAAAACCATAAAGCACAATGATGAAAAGATGAAAATTTTATAAAGCAAATTAATCGGCCAACGGGCCGAGTAAAAGCTAGCAACGATTGTGAGATGCTCATTTCCCGAAAACCGGAGGAATAAGCAATTTTTTATTCGATTTTCTGGAATTCGGTTTCTATAAAACTTACTCCACCTCATCATATTACCAGAAATAATATTGTTTCACAAGGTAATAGGTACTTGATTTTGGTTAATAAGGCTAATTTTTGATTCGTTGCATCATTCATGTCTCTTTCCTACTAAAATTCACTATTTTTATCACGTGTTTCCCAAAAAAAACTATACAACAATAAGCTATACACCCCATTACATTATCAAATTTCATACCTCACCTTCCTCCGGCCAAATGGCCGGGGCCCATGCTAGTTTTAGATATTTATGCTTAAAATCCTATTAATTATTATTTGCAATATGAGAGATTCACTTATATTTAATTTTTAGTAAAAAAATAAATCACTTAATTCGATACTACTACGCATTTGGTTGTTAATGCCTACTCGCATGCACTCAAGCAACAATTGTACGCATTTTTAGTTTCTTATATACATTCTTGTACACAATTGGTGATTGTTTGGTTGAGATAGTTACGATGCATGTATTGTCCACAATACATTGTTTTTTTTTTTTTTTGAATTTTCTACACAAACTATACATGTATTGTTTGCTTGATGTGATGGAAACTATCACTCAAAATGAGTGATAGTAATATCTTAAGTTTTTTGTGAGATTTTTTGTTTGAGATTGTTAGAGTGTTTTCTACTTCCAACTATGTCCCTACCTTTTTATGTGTTTTGCTTTTTTATATTAAAAACAAAGGGTAAAAGTGACATTTCACCTAAAAAGCAATATATCTTATTTTAATACTAGAGTTACTATTACAGAAACCAAACGATGTAAACTACAATACATCAATTTTTTTATATACATGTAAATTATTATACATGCATTGATAACAATCCAT